TTTGCCAGCCGATTTAATTGCTCCAAATGCTTCCTTTATCTTTCCCTTAGCATTTTTTTTTTTTTTTTACTCGTTCAATTTCAGTGGGAACCAAATCACCATTTGATCCTGGATGCGAAATGAAACACGGGTTCATTATTTCACCGAGAAAATAATCTTCGCAGTTGAGGGACCAATCCCAGCTGACTTTGAGAGCGAGATACTCCCGGCCCCTGTTTGCCAGGACAAACAACTACTAAGACTGCAATTATGAAAGGCTTCTTTCTCACTATTCGTGGCAGGCCCGGTAAGGCCTACACACAGGTGCAAACTCATGAATATATTGTTCAACTTGGAGACTTCCACCACAGCCACAGGAGTCAGTTGAAAGTTGCGTTACAAAAGTGTGGCTTTGTAGCGAAAGAGTGCGGCGACTAGAGTGGCCCGCCTGCAGTCCAGACCTGTCTGCCGTTGAAAATGCACGTCGCTTGATGAAGCCAAAAATACAACATCGGAAACCTCGGACTGTTGAACCGCTGAAGCTGTACATCAGGCAACCACCTGCAAAGCTTCAACAATTAGCGTCCTCTCTTCCCAAACATTTTTTTGAATGTTGTGAAAAAAAGCAGGTGATGTAACACAGTGGTAAACATGACCCTGTCCAAGCTTTTCTTGGAACATGTCACAGCCACAAAATTCGAACTTCATGATTATTTGCTGAAAGCAAATAACGTTGATCATCATTCCGAGCATGAAATATATTGTCTTTGTAGAATGTCCCAACTTCATTGGAATTGGGTTTGTAGAATGACTGCTTTACGAGTAGCTCTTGTTTCCATCGCTACTTTTCACGACTACTAACGCACTGGACTGTTTTACAGGTGACGAGCATGCTTGTGCATGGACCGTACGCTAGATATCGAATAAAATGCTCAAATGGCTTTGCATCCGCACGCTCATTGTTCCATCCGCCGTCCAGGCCCAAAACAAACAAACACAGCAGCCTGCAAATCGAGGGCGGCCCGAGGGAGGCCCATTAAGAACTTTGGGGAAGGCGTCCTCATTTCCACACTGGCGGGTCGCAGAGAATGCGAGCGCTTGATAAGAACATGAATATTACAGTGGCTCCAGTAGCCGTAGCCTGGAAACCACAGCGAGCCGAGTCGTCGGCCACGACTGGCCTGCTGCGGCCCCCCTCTTAAGTGTTGCCTGGCATAAAAGTAGAGGACAGGGCCCTGCGGTGCATTAAGCGTCTCCGGCCCTCACCTTGAATAACAGCATGTGACTCCCCATAATGGAGCGGCCCTGTGACCTCGGCACAAGGGAGGAAGTTTGAGCAACAATCAAGCAACAAGTCTAAAAGTCTAACGACACGTTTGTGGCTGAGACGCGCCGGCGTGTCAAAACCAAAACGTGTGGCAACTCAAAATAAATCTTCATGACGCAAATGCGCGGCGGCAATTAGTGTCAAACGGAGGTGACTTATGTTCCCTTTCAGGGGGAATCATGAACAATAAACGCACACTATAAAAACACTACAGGGGAAGGGTAAGGGGGGGGGGCGAGTTTATCCTTAATTTCCCTTATTGTTGCTCTCTTCCGAATGTGTCCTCCAAAGAGGGGCCATAAAAGGGGTGGGGGAATATAACTGATGGTGAGTGGCTTATCATGACGTGTCATGTCATCCCTCAAATCTTAACGGCGACAACATGAGGCACACCTGCACAGTCAGGCTCGACTGTATCTCTCTCAATAATCACACACACACACACACACACACGGGTATGTATGGAGTACATATACAGATGGAGAACATCAGGAGGCCCATCAAATAGACGTTATTTTGCATAGCAATGATTTGTTGGCGTAATGAAATAATTTTCCAGCTGTATAATAAACCCCACAGTGCCAAACTGTTGCATAGAACCAGAGGCAGTTTGCACTGCATCGCGCTGCCCATCTCATGCGTCTCAACCACAAAATATTAGAAACACCTCTCAGTGCAGTCAATCCCGAAGAAAAAGGGGGGCGGGGGGGGGGGGGGAAGCACGAATTACAGATCATTGGCGGTTGCGTCACTGCTTAATTATTAAGCGTAATTCTTGCCCTAATCATCGACACAACTTGTAAAACAGCCTGAAAATAAATCGAATTCATCACAACTTGTAAAATATGCACCGCGCGCCGCAAATGATGTCTTTGACTACGTACTCGTGGTACAAAAGTTGAGTGAAACGCAGCGCGCGTTACGTAAACGAAACTAATTACAAAACACCTGCACGCGTCATGAGCAATGCAAAGTCTATGAGCGTGCGTAAAAAAACACAAAAAACTTTAGAATAGACACCAAAAGGCTCGTATTCCACTATGAAATTCTTTCTTGGGGCGCGTGTTTGGTCACTTACCTATGGTAGTGATGACCGTTATGGCAAAGTAAAAGGAGCCGGCGAATTTCCACTGCACCCCGGCTCTGTGGGGCTCGGCCTCCATGATGATGGTCTCCAGCTTGCGGTAGTCGTCCTCGCTGATGTTGTACTTCCCCTGAAGGCGCCTCTCCTCGGCTTCCAGCTGCTCCTTCTCTCTCATCTCAAAGTCGGACTCCAGGGCGTCGAAGACGGCGGCTCCCACCAGCAGGTAGGTGAACGTGCAAACGATCAGGGATAAGGTCCGCACGTTTTGCCGCTTCATGGCCACGAGGAGCCGGCGAGTGAGGGGCTCATGTCCCCTCGTGTTCCCCGGGATGGTGCGACGAGAAGGGAAGAAGCCGAGTGCACCGCGCCTGGAGGTGGCTGCGGCGGGGGACGCGCGGAGGGGCGCGCTCCGATGACGGTGGACGAGGTGGGCGCCTGCGGGGCAGGGGCTGGGGCAGCGGTACGGGAAACCCGGATCGTGCTCCTGGTTGGCGGAAAGACACAAAAGACTACTGGAGCGCCTGGACCAGGAGCCCTGCAGCCGCGAGACCCTGCGCAAGACCCGTCCGAACCAAGTCCTCCCGGTGCTCAGTGCCATCAACGAGCTGCTGTCAATACCGCCTGCTGGGTTCCGCCGACACCGTGCAGCGCATCATCTGGACATCTTAATATTCACGCGCAGAGCCTGTGGAAGCATCCTTAAGTTTCAGCGCTAACCTGTTCGCTGCAACATCCTCCAGCGTGCACTTTTTGGGGATTGCTTTTTTTTTTTTTTTCCCCAAAAATTTTTTTTTTTTTTTCCCCAAAAATTTTTTTTTTTTTTTCCCCAAAAATTTTTTTTTTTTTTTCCCCAAAAATTTTTTTTTTTTTTTCCCCAAAAATTTTTTTTTTTTTTTCCCCAAAAATTTTTTTTTTTTTTTCCCCAAAAATTTTTTTTTTTTTTTCCCCAAAAATTTTTTTTTTTTTTTACGCGGACATTCTTCACGTAGGAAAAGACAGCAGGAGAACAATCGGTCACAATTGTTTTTATCCCAAAAATCTCCGAGCTAGCATCCCGACAGAATGTGCTGAGTGGTCAAACGAAGCCGCGGAGTGCCACTTGTGGCGGGATTCGAACATTCCACGCACGCCGAATGACAACAGGTTCCACGGCGAGGGAGAGGAGCTTCCACGCGCGTTCGTGTTTGACGTTTTAGGGGCGAATACAAATAATATGCGTAAAAAGACATCAGCTCGCGCCCCCGTGCGCGCGCGTGACAACCGTGGCACTCTTGGGTGGGGGCGTGGGTGGGGGCGTGGGTTTGGGCTCTCACGAAACTCCCCCTCCCCCTTTCCACCAACTCCATTAGACAATAATAAATAAACGAAAAGAACTAGCTGTCTGATCGTCGCGAATAAGAGAGGGAAAGTGGGGAGTGAGTTCACCACGCGTGTCATCATTTATTTCCACGCGCTTTGTAGTCTGCAGAGCAAATCAGTGGGCGTCGCAGCTCCTGCGTCACTTCTTTGAAACGTTACGCCGATCCAACAAATGACCGCATCTTCTGCACTCCCGAACTCTCCTTTCAACAGAGCGCGCGCCCCCTCCCACTCCCGCGAGTGACCACTTGGATGCGCGACGTCGATGGTGGATGGAGGGAGCTATCCCAAGTTCTGAACAGCCCGATGGCGCATTTCCCTGCTGCCTCTCATTTTGTATCACGTTTCTGACGAGTTCAACCGAAGATACTTGATGTTATGAAACTATATAAAAATAATATCACAGTTCTAGGAGAAAAATGTCAAGAAAAGCCAACTACAAAGTCTCAACTTTGGGGTTAATCGGAGGCACTTCAAACGGTGGCGTGTCTGCTGACTGCGACCTGAGTGAATGGGATTGGTCAATTCGGAACGCAGGTCCATCCCCAGTTTATAATGAAATAACATAGAACGAAAGTATCTGCAGTATGCTAGCATTTCGGTGTGTACCTCGCCTACTGATCGAAGACTGCTGGGAAAGGCTCCGGCACACCCACGGCCATCATAAGTGGCTCAGATAAGGTATGGATGGATTGATAAAAAGTTAAATACAACTAAATCGCACTTAGTGATTCTTTATGTTACCACTAGAGGGAGCCCACACACCATAAGTTGTACAAGTACCACACTTTTAGGAACACAGATCGAGCAAGACAACTGGTATTTTGTTTGACTTATGTCCATGTAGTCAATCTTTTTTTTTTTTTTTAAACGTAGTTTTACCATTTAAATAGACACAACTATGTGTTACATGCGTTCTGATTAGATTTTTTTTCAGTGATTTTATTTTGTAGTCATGGAATGTCGATGAATACAAGGGAATGGGTAGCACCGCCGTCGTTTTATTTATTTTTACCCTTACAAAGACAATGATATAGTCGTCAACAAACTCTGCCGTCAAATCAACAGCATCTTGAAGCGCGGCCTATATTTAACCCCCCCCATGGTCAACATCTCAAGTCACAGGCCAACGCAGACCACCCACAGAACTAATGCACTCGCGACGGAGACGCTCGGAGAAGAAAAGTTGAATGATGGCAAGCGCTTAGCTTTGTCTCCATGGCGATGACTTACAGTGCAATCAAGTTACAGTATGATTTTCTCTGTTCATCACTTTGACGTGTTCTCTGCGAGCGTGTTGATCTAAAGGCATGCCATTTGAATCGCGATTGATCAAACTCTCTGTCGGGGCGGGACATTCAACGGTAGGCAAATATAGTCGGAAATCGTACAAAAGCCTTCGCACTTTAATCATACTTGAAGTGATCGGTCAAACGGACCACTCATCGGAGTCACACAACAGCAATAGCAGATTTTGGAACTCTGTGCATACACAAGGCTTATTATTAGACGCCCCATTCATTTGGGAGAAAATTCAAGACTTTTTAAGTGCGCCCCATGCTCGGGAAATACGGTACATTCTTACGAATTGGAGAAAGTGGGCAAGACTTTTTTTTTTTCTTTTTTTTTTTACAATATTCACCAACAATAAAAGCATGGTAAATATATTTTAGCACGTCACCACAAATAAGTGTTTCCTTTTAAATATACTTTTTTTTGTATGAAACCCTTCTTGAAAATTTAAGGCCCTCAAGTCATTTCATGACATTCATGAAAAAAAAAAAATACATTCATTCCAAGTAATTACGTCTAAATACACGTTTTCCCGGAGTTTTTGTTTGAAATCCCGCAAATATTGTTAGCCTAGCATATAGTACATGACAAGTAGCAGTCACGTCGGAGCATATTTCATACATACGTACATTTTCCACTTAAGGGATTTTTACTAAAATCTTGATAAATGACAAGATTGGGATGATGTTTGTGGATAAAAGCCGATTAAAAAAAAAGGCTAATAACTATTAAAATCAGGAAAAAAGTCAAGAAATAAAAATTTGCGTCTTTTTGACACAAAGCATAGTGTTGACGTTACGGAATTTGTAACCCTTTTATACAGTCGTCGTGTCAATATGTGCGTACGCTCATTCGGGTCGTGTCAATATGTGCGTACGCTCATTCGGCTCGGAGGATTTAGTCGCGAGCATTTTGTTCTCCTGGCCACTCGGGCGTATGTCATTGTCTCCAAGATGATTTGTTAGCTCTGTCAGACATCAATAGCGGAAAATGCTAACAAGCTCTTCATGATATATTTCTCTGCGGGCAAACGCGGCAAATCGATGGCGCCGGGATGCGCGGAAAAGTACGCCGGCCTTCGTTACGATGACATCAACGAAATTCGTACAACTAGTCAAGGCAGATCATTTTAATGACCCTTTCTTGTGTCGCTTGGAAATTATTATTATTATTTTTTTGGTGGCGCAGTTTTGATTGATGACGTGATTTACAAGACGGAGTGACGCCCCGGCGATGGAGGAGCCCTTTCGCGGCCGCTGCTGATCTACATCGACAAAGCCCATCACTCATCGACGTTAACAACCTTTTTCTTGGGACACGAGGGATGACAGCAGTTACTGCACATGAAGAGCGGAACCTCTGCATTGCAACGCCGACGATTGCTCAGACTCAGATGATGACTGGAAACCAGTCAAAGCAGGCCTTGTTTATGTCCGTTATTTAAAGGAGGGTGGGGGGGGGAATATCCTGGGGGCCCTGTAACAGTAAAACACAATGAGCAAAAAGTCATGCAAGAGCTGCTGTCGACAACCGCTTTCTCTTTACATTTTATGCTCGCAAGGAAGTGTTTATAAAGTGTAGAAAAGGTGGGTTTTAATGGGGTTAAATGTTTTTAAAGTGTGTGGCGGACTTGAAATGAATTTAAAAATATGTATTTTTATATGGGCTCTTTTTCGCAAATTTTCACTTTCTTTTGTAGCTACCTCTGGAACTAAAATGTTTTTTAATGGGGGGGGGGGGCAGGTGATTGAGTGGTTAGTGCATCGATCTCACAGTGCAGAGGTACCAGGTTCGATTCCAGCTCAGGCCTTCCTGTGTGGAGTTTGCACGTTCTCCCCGTGGGTTTTCTCCGGGTACTCCAGTTTCCTCGCACATTCCCAAAACACCCATGGCAGCTTCATGGAACACTCTAAATTGTCCCTAGGTGTGAGTGTGAGCGCGGATGGTTGTTCGTCTGTGTGTGCCCTGCGATTGGCTGGCAACCGGGTCAGGGTGTACCCCGCCTACTGCCCGAAGACGGCTGGGATAGGCTCCGGCATCCCCCCGCGACCCTTGTGAGGATAAAGCGGTTCAGAAAATGGATGGATGGATGTTTTTTAATGTTGCATGAAACTTCACATTTCAATCAGTGGTCACGCAGGTCAAATTTCTCATTGTATATGTTAGGAGGTTTAAAATCATGACGAGGATGAAAAATAGTAGAATTAAGGGCTATCTCATCAATTATTTTGAGATGTATTTGAGCTAAAATCATATATTTATAATGATATAATTGAACTATGTCACCACTTATTTTTGCAACATTTGCAAACCAAAAAACACATTTGAGCTAACTTATCCCAAAATAATGAACATTTTGTCCGAAAGAGTGCACTTTTCTAAGGAACAATGACTAACTTTCGGCTTTTCCCAGTCAACTAATTAGAAACATATTTGGGCTAATTGAACACAAAACATTTTATATTAGCATTTTTTTGTATTAAAAAAAAAATCTTGTGATATTCTTACAAATATTGTCAGGTCAACGTTCATAAAATTAATTCACTGTAAAAAGGCGCCACAGTTTGTTGTGTGGGACGTGTACCTTTGAAGGAGCCATCGAGCGCCATCGAAAGCTGGAGTCGATTCGTCCGGGTGCGAGCGTCTCCAGGGGGGTTGCCACAAAATGTAAAATACCTCTCGCATTGCGCGAGAATACACTCGCGCCGATTCGTCGATGAGAAAAAGGGTGAAAATGATCAGTGCACTTTTATATTTCAAACACGAACTTACCTGTCTGTCACAAGCACCGAAAGAACTTTCTCTTTGGTGCTGCGACAAGATGTAACAGCCCCCCTGAGGGGCGGGGGTGCGAGTTATCCTGTCATTTTCCTGCTGCTGCCAAGTCAGAGATCCACAGAGATACACCGTGTCCGGAAACACATGCAGAGATGAATGAAAATGGGAAAACGTCGCTTTTTTTTTTTTTTTTTAACCCCCGACGACCGCGAGCTGCAAATCGTCGGAATGACAGCGGCCATGAGGAAAAACAGCTTTGTTGATTTCCTTTATTTACAGTCAAAGGAGCGCTTTTCATCTGTAGTTCCGTTTGGATGAAAAAAAATAATAACTTACCGACGTGTACATCCTATACGGTAGCTAGCCAGGCTAGCTCAGCAGTCGAGTTGGCAAGCTAAACGCCAAACGCGGTTTTGCTTCATGTTGAAAAGGACAATCGCACGGGATGCCCGCTTCATTTACAGATATGAACACAAATGGAATCAGTTTGGCGGGCCGGTCAAGCGGCGTCCTTGAAAAGCGTGTCCATTGTTCTGATGTGGACGCTGGGAAGCGTGAACCAGGCCAAAGGCAGCTCTCGCCCGGCGCTGTCGTCCTGAAATTTGATGTTAAGGTAGAAGTCTCCAGTGTAGAGGAAAAGCAGAGCGCCCACGCAGATGGACTTTTCTTTGGGTTGCACCTGCGCAAAGTGGAGACAAGCGGGGAGAATTATGAGTGGCTCGCCTTCCACTTATTCTTTCAAATGTCTACATTGGGGAGTCTGAGGGGGGCGGGGGGTTGTTTGGCTTCCATGTCACAAATAATTTTCAGTGAAATGAAAAAGTTTTCTTTTTGGCAGACGCGCCCACCAAATCCCAGTAAGTGCAGACCATGACTTTTTCCTTGTGACCTTGTCCTACTTTAAATCACAAATAACAGAGCATGCAAATTATTGTGGGAGAAGCCCCCCCCCACCCCTAAAAAAAAAGAATGTCATAACATTCAACCACAATTGGTTAAATGATCTCAACCTCTCAAGTAAAAAGAAGTTAAAAAAATGTGTGTGTTGCCGGTGGATCGCCATCGCAGACGGTGTCGCCGTTACCATGTCGATGCAGAAGGTGTTGGAGGCG